CGCTCCTAGCACCCCGGGAGGCAACGAATAAGTTTTAAGGAAATCTCTTTTCATGGTTTTCTTCTGTCATTTTATTAATTAATTTATTTTAATTAATTTTCTTTATTTTCCGAAACACACCCAACAATATTTTGTTGCATCCCTTATGGTACTTACAACAAAATACACACTAAAAATACAAATTACAATGATAAGTTCGTATTTCAACACGCATTTGATGTGTGTTGGGGTCGGATTTTAATGGTTTTCCTAGAGTTAAGGTGTTGCAAGGCTCAATTTTAGCTCAAGTTGTGATTATTAGGCGTTGGGTCGAGTTTCGTTGCATTTGGAGTCGAATTGAAGAAGTTAGAGTCCGGCATCGGCGCTTGAGAGGCAATCGGGAAGAGCTAGAAGGCATTCGAAAGAGATTCGAGAGATTTGAAGGTCACCGAGAGATTCACAGCAAAATTTTGATGAAGAAAGAACATTTGGATCGACCTCGTATGCATCCGGGAGCGTTTGGAGCAAGAAAACGAAGAAAAAGTGAAGAAAAAGGTCACGCACGGTCGTGCCCGGCATTAGGCACGCCGTGCGTGCCTTGAGACGAAGCTGGCGACGAAGAATGATCAGGCACGGTCATGCCTGGCAGGGAAGCACGCCGTGCCTGAAGAGAATCGAAGGACAGAGCTACTGGAAGCAAGGCACGGTCGTGCCTGGCAGGGAGGCACGCCGTGCCTGGACGCGTTTGACGGGCTGCCTTCGCAGGCACGGTCGCAGGCACACTCGTGCCTGGCGCCGTGCCTGGCCGCGATTTGTCCTAATTCGACCCGAATTCGTTGTTTTCTATAAATAAGGCCTCTAAAACCCCGTTTAGGGGTTACGAACATTACGGAGAGGCCTAGGGACGAATTTACTTGCGTTTTTACGATTGTTTACTCCAAGACCCTGGGTTTATTTGTAAGTTCATCTTTTTAATTAATGACAATTATTTCTATTCATCCCAATTCTATTGATTCTTCAATTATGAATTGTGAGTAGTTTAATTAGGGGTTTGAGATTGATGAAGGGGTTAATCATGATTTATGGCTAGATTCTTGTCGGTTTAATTGCATGAATGCCGTTTAATTTGTGTTTGAAGAATTTAATTGATATCTTATGTAACCTAGAACGCGCGCTAGAATTACAATTGCTTGTAGAATAAATTAAGAGAGATCTAGTTTATTCTAGGACACTTTCACACACACTTAATCGTTCGCTAAGAGATTAGTAGCGATTAAGGGGCCGTAAGCTCGCTCATCTTGGCAATAATTTAGGATCATGTCGCATGAGAGATCAGTCTGGTCTCCTAAATTATTGTACTCTACGCCGCGTGAGCGGTAAGAACTTAGTAATGATTAACTAGGCTCAATTAAATCAAGTTCATGTAATTAGGCCTGATCTGCCACAAATCTAGTTACCTCGGAATCAATCCCTGTTCCCTTCGTCATTAATTAGAGAGAAACCAATCTTTATTTAATTCGTTCATTCGCATTTTTTTAAGTTTAATTCACCAATCAATCTTGCACACTTGCATTTTATTTTATTTATTTTCTTTTTAATCGCTGAATTTAGTTAATTCTTGATTCCCTTTTTCCGTCCATGTGGAGACGATACTCGTACTTTTCACCACTATATTACATCATCTTTAAGTGCGAGAAAACTCACATCATACAACCTACAAAATAAATCTATGGAGTACATCACAAACTAAACTAAACAATTACAAACAACAATCAAACAATACTAAAATAACAAACCACACCTTGGGGAAGATCTTTTTCTAGCATATCCTTTCACTAGTTCTTGAGCTAAAATGATGTTATCAAACATAAGTCTACCATTCACAAAAGCACATTGTGCAGGCAATATATGACATTTGTACAGGCAATAGGACGAAAATCAGCATCCAAAGGGGAATGTGTGGTTTTAGGTATTAGGACAATAATTGTATGGTTAATTTGAACAAGCCATTTGAAACACTATCGGTTGGAATTCCCGCCTCGCGCTCTAAGCCATGCACCAAATGTGTTATCCAGAGCCTTGCTCCATTTCACATACTTCAAAGGACAAAACTTATTTGTGAACAATAACTCCACACACAAAGCAACTATTAGGCAGTTTTTCATATTTGAACTCCACCCAATAGCCTTCCCCCTTTTCCTTTTGTAATTGTTGTCACAATCTTAAGGGGTTCTCCTACATTGAAACATATTCTAATACGTATATAGGCATCCCATTTGCCTTCAAATTGATTCTCATCATGTTTAACAAAACTTCCCATAAAGTCATAAAGTCGTACAATAACACATTTTGCACTTGTACCCATACATATATCAACCATATTTAATGGAACTTTAAGGGGTATATCCCATGAATTAATTGCCCTTAACACCAACATATTTTGTTCAAATTGCCACAGGCCATTTTTCAGAACATGATTCATATCAACAATATGATAAAATGTAACAAGATACCTTTGATCATTGATTTCTTTGATTGAGACTCCTCTACCAGGACACCATATCACAGCCACAAGATCTTTCAAGATTTGGAATTTCACTATCCTACCTGTAATTAGTGTTTCGATAACGGGAAAACCACCGGGTTATTATCCTCTCTCTCATTGTCCCCCCTTCTTCAAAAATCAACCCTTCCTCCTCCTCTCATATATATCCGGTCTATCATATTTATTAATAATTTGCTCCATTTGAAAATACTCGATTGAAGGATTAGCTCCTCTGTGCAGTACGGAACCTGGGAACACTCTTCGTACGCCACCAGACCCAAGCCGCAACCCCCCATGATTGATTCCCAACCTCACAGCCAAAAACGTTGCCAGTAAACCAGCCGCACGACCAGAGCCAACCAGCGGAAGAAGAAAATCCTACAATGAGGGTGGCGGCCGCCTTTTTTATTACCCTTGCCATGCTTGAATAAGTTTTTTATATATAATAAGACATAAAAAAAATATAAAAACGTAAAAATGCATGCCTATGCTCCTTCTAGCATCCACTACCTCCATGACATGCATCTTAGTGTCCCATCTAAGTTTCAAACTCCATCCATCCCTTTTGATTTAGCCACACATTATTTTTCAAGCCTATGATGATATACTTTGACCGATTATATATTTATACATGCCTACATGGTATTATTGATAATATGAAAATTATATGAAAAAGTTCTTTGTTAAAAATACTATCATAAATGTATAAATTTATTATGTTTCAGATAAATATATTAGTTAAAATAATGGATCAAAGTTTATCATGGCATTTATAATACCATGCCTAGTTTGCTCTCCTCACTTTTTAGGATTCCCATACCCATTTAGAATTGGAGCGTGGTGAAGTAAAATCTCATTTGCTGGAATCTTTCCACAATACTACCAGTTTATGATATCACTCATAATTATTTTTATGTCAAAACCAATTTATTATTTCACACACTGTCAATGATCGATTGTGTCATTGTTGCCGTCACAATGTCTTTGTCACCGCAACTAGTGTCATTGCCACTGCACAATGTCATTGTGATCACCAAATTTTTTTGAGTGTCTTTTTCCATAGAATCATCAAAAAATGAAAAAATCTTTTTTCGCTGGCAGTAGTTACCAGAGATAGAAACTGATGAAATGATGGGCCGGGGGCACGTGGGCAGGATTGAAGTTAGAAATAGAAGAAATGTATATGGAGTCACACTTTTGGAGAATAAAAACTACTCATCTTTTTAACTTCCAAAAAAGTACAGGTAATATTTTTCAATTTTTCCTTATAGTATGTTATTTTTTTAATTCACCATTAAGTATTAACTATAATACTTTCTTTTGTTTTTCATTCCACGATCGAACTCTGCCAGCGGTAGTGCATGAGCAATCTCTCAAACTGAGGGGCTCATTATACATAGTAAGCACCGATAGCCTCGATGTTTAGTTGAGTAACAATGACTAACAACCCCTATTTTTGGGGCGGGGCATGGAGGATCCTTGGAGTTGGGCATTCAAACTTTTTTGAACTATGTAATTAAATAACATGCAACATACTAAGGTATTCTTAGCCACCTTTAGATTGATGAATGAATAACAAGAATGATTAATGGATATCACCAATTTACACAAAACGGATATAAACATCAAACGTAATAATAAAAATAAAAGGATTAATGGAAATCACAAATTTTAAACATACGAGCTGAGTATTTACTAGGATTCATAGGGGATGATAATTGAGTACTTTGATTGCTTAAGAGTCGTGTAAGTTGACTTTCTGAATTGATATTTCTCCTTTGTGCCTGGTTACAAGAATTCAATTTAAGATAATCCTCAAGGACACCCAAGAATTTAGGCACAAATTCAAGAGCATAAACTAGTGAGTATATGAATTGTTTTCTTTCAATTTGAATGTCAAAATGATGACGATACATTGTTTGTATCCTTTTGTATGGAAAATGTAGATGCACATCCATATGAACCGTTGTATGCAGTTAAAGAAGTTTGGGGATAATAGTGATCGTTTCTGAAAAACTGCAAAAACTGCCTCAACCACTCTAAACCTGGGTCTAGACCCACAAATCTGGTCTACTAAGATTTCTATTACGAGTTGTTCTGTTGTAGACACTTTGTGATAAAACTTGTTATCTACACAAATATGCACTCCACACCTACTAGCTTGTATTACGTCATAGTTCGAATTCTCATCGGCACTCATGTCATTTCCAATTACATAAAATGGTCAATTACACTAAAGTCGCCAAGAGTACTTGCACTCATATTTGTGTATAAAGTTAATTATTTGAACAATATTATATATTTTATAATTTAGAGTGGTTGTGATGATATATTTTACACTCATTACATTGATCTTTGGATTTCATTATATTAAAATGTAGTTTAAATTTTTAATTCTTCAATAAAATCTATCTTTCTTATATTTAACTGTTCATGGTATATTTATTGATATTTCTATAAAAAGAAGCTACTACAATCTCAATCTTTGCTTCTGGGTTTAGATTTATATATAGCATTTGATGGCAACATATGAGAGGTCAACTAATCTTATATGTGGCATCTAAACAACACATAATAATAATAGGGAAAAGGTGACATAATCTTTATATAATTGTTTAGATCAAACACGACTATCTCGTTTGGAAGTTTAAAGTTTTAATGGCAAAGGCAAAAATGAACCCAAAAATGACAGGTAATGCAACAATGACAGCTGCAACCACTCCAAGGAAATTATGCTTGAATCCAAAGTAATCATCGAGGAACTGTTTTACTGTTTGATCGGAATCGCTCATTATTTCTTCAATATCTCCAAATTGGGATACCACCAACCCATATAATGTCCATGACATTGGGCATGCCCAGACGTACCATCTCCACCACACAGGAATGCTCTGGTATGTTTCACGGGAAATAAAACGCTCTTAAAATTTTGATCGCATTTTAAATTCAATATTAAGTGTGTAATAGGACTTACAGGTCGTGGCACGTTGAACCCTGAGAAGAGATTCCACATAGTGTAAAAGAAGACAGAGATAATGGCAGCAATGCCTTCATTGGAGGTTACAGCCACACACATCATCCCGTATAGTGTGAAGTATAACAATGAGAAGAACATCATGAAAAAATACCACAAAAACTTAGCCGGTGTCCATTCAAACCCAACCATTGCGTAAACGATCCCACAATAAACAGCCGATTGTAAAATTATATACGGGATTTCAATAACAACCTATCACAAGCAAAAACAATGTTGCAATAGTTTTCGATCACTTTTCTAATGTAGGTAGTAAAAAGATGGACTGCAAAAGTAGAATTCTCACTTGACTAATGGCATATGGAAATGCAGAATACATTCCGGCTGCTTTCTCCCTATAGAATATTGTACGTTCAACCACGACCACAGGCTGAACTGCAGAAGCATGTTGCACACCAATAAAGAGAATTGCGGCATACATAGATCCCATAGCATTGAACAAATCTTGTCTAGTACTCCTGAGATTATAAAAAAAATTAAGATACTTAATACTAAAAGAGAGTGTTTCCATCTTGCCACTATATAAGAATGGTTTGAGGTTTTTGGACATACTTTTTAGTACCCATGTCCCAAAATATTGATCCCAAAATTAATGCTACGATGGTAACGTAGAGGAATCTAAGTGCACTATATGATGTGTTACGCCAATAAGACCAATGTTGCTTCCACAAGCATGCCAAAAATTGATTCCATAAATTCTGCGGGTATTGAGTTGGGAAATCCAAGTCCATAGAATTAGGGCAAGGTGTGCTTAGTTCTCTTATCAATGCTTTGTTCCTTTGATATAGATCTGAGTTCTTATATATGTCTGAGAAATCGACCCCTAAAATTATTTCTTGAGCTGAAGCTGACACTTCCAGCATCCATGTTGCAGGGTTGTATCCATCCTTGATTTTTCCCACTCCATGAATGGACTATTTTGTCATAAGTAAATAAATTAGTAATTATTTATGAGATGAAAAAATTTGGCATTTAACTATTATGACTTATGTTCCTTCTTAAAAACAACCTCAACCTAAGTCTTATATCTGATTTTGTATTTTGTATATTTGACTTTTGTGAAATGGACTGAAATTGAAGGCTCAAACTCACCTCAAAGTACTTAATTAAATGGCAGGAATTGTGGCCCAATTGCCCAACATAAATTTCTTGCCCTCCTCTCTTCATGAGGAATAGCTGTAAAAAGTATTCTTAATCAACTCTTTCTCGAACATATTCTTATTAGTTTATTTATATAATAAACTTCAAATATTTTGATATACCTCATCGAAAGCTTCAAAAATGTCAATGTTCGGTTGATGAATTGTGCAAACAACTGTTCTACCTGTGTCGACAGTGTTCCTCACAGTTCTCATCACAATAGCTGCAGCTCTAGCATCTAGCCCTGAAGTGGGCTCATCCATAAATATAATTGATGGGTTTGCAACTAACTCAACTGAAATTGTCAACCTTTTACGTTGTTCAGTTGACAGACCATTAACACCAGGCAAACCAACAAGATGAGATCTCAATGGAGTCAATTCAACCAACTCCATTACTTCATTAACAAACATCTACAATAAAATTACGCAAATGTGAACTTTTCTATCTTTGAGAGATTTATTTTCTAATGAAAGATAACATGATATTTTGAATTACTAACCTTTCTAGTACTAGCATCCACATTTTCTGGTAAACGTAGCCAGGCTGAGTAAATAAGGGACTCATGAACTGTGACAAAAGGAGAATGGATGTCATTTTGTTCACAATATCCTGCAATTCGGGCAAAGGTTTCTTGTTTCTTAAGAAATCCGGATATTTTTACATCTCCATCAATGTAACCACCCGTTTTTCTTCCAGCCAAGACATCCATCAGAGTTGTTTTCCCAGCCCCACTAACACCCATCAAAGCAGTGAGAACACCAGGCCTGAATGATCCACTTACACCTTTTAAAAGAACTAATCTATCTTCGTTGGCACCCTGCTCTTTCATTTCTAGTGGCATGTCGACTGAGTAGACAACATTATCAAACGTGAGTGAATGGGGTTCGAATGGAAGAATCATTCCTCTATTAGCACTACCAACACTGGACAATTGTTGAGTGGTGTTTTGAATAGAAGCGATTTCATTGTTTTCATCATCTAATATCATTGCTTGGATCTTGCCAAGTGCTGCATTATTAATATGAAGTCATAGACATAGTACATGTCACTAATCATATATATACACACACACACACATAGATAGATAGGAGACAAAGGGTGTTCTCACGGTCAAGATATTGAAGAGCTAGTGTGTAGCAAACATTGAAGAGAATCATGAACCCGAAAAGTGCTCCAACACCTATCCAATACCATTTTGACTCAGGAAGGAATCCTCTAGATCTCATAACTTCATCACCAATTGATTCAGAACCACCCGGGGCAAACTATTTAAATATAAAGAGAAAACAAATAAGATTGGTTTCACTCACAAAACTATATACATCTACAAAGTTTCAATCTATGTAAAAGAGGTGATCTTACATGTCTCCAACTTTTTCCTTTAAATTCAATTACAAGAACTGCATTCATAGCATACGTGAGTGGTGAAGACCAGTAGCCCCAAATCCACCAGCTCTTCACACTATCTGGAGAATTAGAATGAACATACTTTTTCATATCACATACAGAAAATAGTATTTATATTTTTCATAACCAACTTACCTCGAGAGAGCACAAAGCCACACAAAGAAAACAACAAAAGCAAACAAACGGATCCAAATGTGTTTCCAACGGTCATAATTCTACCTAGACCTCCAATAAGTCGAAATATTGAAGAAGCCATTTGGTTCAACATTATCATTATCAGGAAATGTTTGAACACCCTAAATAGGAAAAACAAGGTTTCATTAACGATGAGTAATCAACCAAGAGAGGTACCTTGATGCATATTGCAACAAAATTCTTATTAATCGATAAACATTTTTTATACCTGCCCACATTTGGATCCAAACCAATGACATAGTAAGTAACAAACACCCAGATACCAACTTCAACGATCGTAATAGGAACTTTGAGGATCCATGAAGGAATAGCATAAGCCCACGGAGGAAAGAACAAGAGGTCTCTTTGCTTGTAAAACACCGGTAACTTATAAATATTCAATGAAATCTCAGAAAAACCACTGAACATAATCATAACCACACTGAAGCATAGGGCACCGAGGTAAATCCCACCATCAATCTCATTATCTTTCTTCATTTCAGTTCGCAAGAATATTGTCATGTAAATGAAAGCTATCACCAACAGCTGAGCTCCATTTACAAATAAATAATAACAAAAACACAAAATCAGTTATATTCACTTTTGTTAAAGAAGAAAACCCCATTCTTCGTCCCAAATTGATGTGCAATGTGTGGTGATTGTTAATGTTGATGAGTGATAGAGTGAAAATCTTCCTTTTAAAACCATATATATAATTACAATTTACATACTACGTATTCGGAAGCTACATAAAGAGTTTTATTTAAATGCAACAGTCGAATTAGTTTATGAAATAAAACTTTAACATATCATTCTCCCCTATTTAAAGTTCATGTAAGGTATTTTTTGGGGGGATGTGCCTAGATAAAGTCCATTTTCCTTATAGGTGAAGAAATACTTGTGATATTTTTCTACTCACCTCAAGTAGTAATAACTCTGCGTGTCAAATAGAGTTGAAGAGAATTCTCAATAATATATATTAACCCTTTGTGAATAGACCATTCAAGAAGTAAAAGTAAGAAAACTAGTTTCCTTCAACTCCATCAATGTTAGACTAGTAGTTTCTGGTAGACTGTTAGCACTAAAAAAGAATGTTCTAAAAGAATTGAATCAAGTAAAAAATTAACCTAAATGAAAGTCATTTTGGGACAGAGAGAGTATAAAAGATTAGACAACTCTAACATTATAATCAACATCACACCTTAACGAACTTGAAGATGTAAGCAAATGAGTTTCTTTGCATTAGCAGATACTCCCGTTCAGTGCAAGCCTTCAAGAGCTGCCTCTTCCCTATACCATATTTCTGCTTTGTCAATGCAGCAGGGTGGCTTTTCGTTTTATTGAATGGGACCGAAAGCTCACCCTCCATCTTCTTCCAAACATCGAAGTTTTTGTAAGCCTCAGCAAATTCCTTGGCCTTCACAAATCTATAAGGCTCATCTCTGCAAGTCCAATATTGTTGTTGATCTTTCTTGGATGTCACCTATCAAGAACTTGACCAGTTCTAAATAATGCACAAAAAATACTTCATATAATCGGCAGAAGATGAAGTAAAGAGCATGCATGCATACTTCCTGCAAGAAATCTGCCACGCCTTTTCTTTGGGGGCATTTGAACCCCATATAGTCAAAGAAGTCAAGTATTTCCTCACGAGGACCATGGTAAATGACATAACCATCTGATAAAAGAATAATATCATCAAAGAGATTATAGGTTTCTGGTGCTGGTTGGAGTAGGGAAATGACAGCAGTGCCCTTGAGAATGTGCACGTATTGCCTCAACGAGTTAATGATTGAAAAGGTTGTGGAACTATCGAGCCCTGTCGAGATTTCGTCCATGAAAAGAGCTTTAGCTGGTCCAGCAAGCATTTCACCGGTGGTCACGCGCCTTTTTTGCCCACCTGATATACCTCGTATCATTTGGTCACCCACCATTGTGTCTGCACAAACTTCCAGCCCCAGAATCTGCACTGCTCATATGCACTAAATGTCCATTTTTTGCCATTATATTAGTAACTTATGATGATTCAGACTTTAAGTTACCTTAAGAACATAATCAGTGAAGACTTTTTCTTCTTGTCCTTCAGTAGCTACAGCCTGTAGTTATTAGAGCAATGCATTAAAACTCGGTTTACTTCCTAAAATGGATATGAAGTGTAGCCTCAGATCTAATGGTTTATTAGTTCATATTTTAACCGTGTGGGAAATACTTATCCAATGTATTTGCTCAATTGCTCGTTAGTTTGGTGATCTGTATATGACATTAACAGCAAATGAAGAGTCCCGATTACAATCTATTCTTACCTTCATGTAAACGTCGATATCATGATCAGGCTTGATATTTGCTGCCTTTTCTCTTCTAGTCAATTCTGCCAACATTTCTACATACATTTCCCAACATTAATGAGAAGATGTTAGGAAGAAATTAAAGTATGGAATGAACACTCACAATTCTTTTAAACTGGAAGCAATACTAACCATAGCGAGAGCCGATGCCCTGACATTTAGCAGAGAACTCCAAGGTTTCTCGAACAGTCATTTCTCCAATATGCAGATCATATTGACTAATGTAAGCAGCCGTTCTTTGAGGCACGAATTCGTTCAACTCATGCCCGTTATATGTCACTTTTCCTCCCACCTTCAAATCTTTATCAAGTTTTCCAGCCAGGGCCAACAAAAGTGTTGTCTTGCCAGCTGCTGGAGGTCCTAATAGCAGTGTCATTCTGAACCCACACACACAACCACATGTATTAAGCTTGTTTCGGTGTGAACCGCGAGTATTCGTGATTACAGAGCACATTGATGTGATGAATGGTAACAACTCTCCCGTTTAAAGTAGTGGACATTTTGTTTTTAGATAGGAGACCAGTACTAATCATTACGCCAATGTGCTCCATAGTTATGCCCAAAACACTGCGTGTAAGTTGTCGTGATAACTACTTTCGTTTACTTCTTTTAAGTCCTAACAGTTTGTGAAAGGCTGATACTGTTTTAAGGGATAGGTGTATATCCATTCATGGATTTGAAGTATCTTAAAACCTCTAAGTAGAAAAAGAAAGATATGATGAGGATATGAGCTAGAGAGAAGCATTTTATGTTGGAAAAAAACCTCCTAGTAGAAATGAAAACAATATGAAATTCTAAAAATATGAGTGTTATAAGTTTGGTATTTTTTATCATCTTGGTTTATATTGTTTTATAATTAAAATATTGACCTATTTATGATTATAATAAATACATCGCTAAAAAATACGTAGTACGTAGTATGTAGTATAACATTCAGAGTGACTATAACAGTAATTTTTAATGACTATAATTTATGTTTTCTTTTACACTGCGCCGAATATGACATACGGAGTATATTTTTCTATTTCAATGATATTTTAAGTAAAAAAAGGTTTATAATTTCTCAAGAGTGGTATTTGAATCAATATTTAAGCAAGCACTAACCTGCACGGCTTGATAATTCCAGTAGCATCATTGAGAATCGTAATCTTCCTCTTTTTACTTTTGGTGATGTGAAGGGTATTCTGTAAATCCTTTAAATATGAAATAAAGGAGAAATGATTTAGTCCATTTATACACTTCAAACTTTTGTCTCTTAAACATTTCTTGAACAATAAAGGGTGTTTGAAATTAATTCTGTTTCTACTTGTTTTTTAAAGAAGAAATAAAATTAGAATGAGCTTGGCAAAACCTAATTGTTTATTCTAGCTTAATTTGATACCATATTAAGACTTTATATCTTAATTTGTACGGAGTATTCTTTAGTGATAACATAATAATAAAACTAACAATTATGTAAAAATATATACTGCATATATAGTTAATTAATTAATTGCCAGCGCAACATAAAGTTCAAAGGGAAGCGCACCTTTAAAATGGTATATTGAAGAAACAATATCAAACGGATTAATTACTATGATGAATTTGGTTTTGAATTGACTTTAATAAATATTTGATTTCAATTCTCTGTTGTGTTCTTTGGTGGATAAAATGGTGGAAAAAACTGTAAAATTCAAAGGATGAAAAACAGAGGAATTAAGTTCAATTTTATGTTATTTGCCAAAAATGTTTTGGTGTTGTGTGTAAGCCAATAGTTTATATACCTCAATGAAATTGGTAAAGAAGTTGATGAAGGAAGGCAAAGCTCTGCTGCCTGCATAAGCATATGCCTCCACATTTAGGTGCTCATATCTCACTTCAATGGTTGGCAGATCAATTCCCACTCTGTGAAAGGATAATAAATTAGTTACACCCACCATACGATATGAGCAAAGATCAAATACTACATATGCTTTTCCATCTCTTAAAAAATAATTACTCCCTAACAATGTTCTATTATCATGGAGGTCCTATGTCAAAATTGATTATCATTAACATTTATATAATTCACCCCTCTCATTATCTTGATATGGTTTTAGGATGTTCTCTTTTGGACTGAAATTTGCTGGTCTGGTCTGGTCTAGCCTGGTGTGGTCTGAACTGGTCTGGTCTGTTAAATGTTTTGTCTCTATGTATTTTACAATTGTCCCAGTTTGTTCTAATCTAGATTGTTTAAGTCTAGTCTGGTCAGGTCTAGTCTATTTAAGTCTGATCTAATTTGAGACTGAAAACAGTTCAAAAGAAAACATCCTTATAATCTCAAAAACCTACTGATTAAAAACACTTTTATTACTTTATTACTATTATTATTTAATGCAACTTGATTATGATATCTAATTCTAAGTACCACATTTTTATCATATACAAAATCAATACAACAACTAATGCAATTTTTGGTAACTTTTAAATATTACTCCCTCCGACCATAAAGAGGTTCCCGATTCGGTTTACGATGCTTGACAGACGATAAATCAACAACTACTTCGCTTTTTAGCTAAAATTTGTTGTGCAATTATATTGGATCTTCATTAAATTTATAAAAATGAAGAATTTCAAGGTGTAATAAAAAAATTCTCTTACCGTGATATTACTTGTTTAACACGGCGAATTATAAAAGTCACAAATTTCGAAGAATTATTGTCATGTAATAGATTTGAACAAACAATATTTTTTTTAAATTAAGCCCATTATGAATTATCTGCCCCTAGGCCTTGAAACTATCAGGGCCGGCCCTGTTTCATGGTCACAAATTGAATTGTCATTTACAGTTTTTAAGTTTAATTTGATCAACGACAAAATTAAATCGTCCTCGCGGTTAGTTAAATTAGTTATTATTTGGAAGAAGTGGGCTTAGATTGATAAAATAGCATTCAAATAAGGTTTGATAAATTAGTTTTTATTATTAAATCTTACATACGTAGTATTTTTTTTTGAAAGGTATTACTCCGTATATCTTACACATTCGAAATTATGTTTATAAAATCACAAAATCCATATTAGAATTTAAAAAAAAATTGATATTGATAAATAAATAAATAAATTTAAGTGATATTGTGTTTAGAAGACCTGTCTATTCTGTTCCTGAGTTTCAACAAGAACTTCTCGTTGTCCTCATCAGCAACATTCACAAGCCTCTTAAGCAGAGCCTGTCTTTCCTGAAACCCGAGGTGGTCGATGTCTACCTCCGCCGCCCGCCCGTCGGAGCCGAACATGAGCCCTTTCCTCAGGCGATCAAACGTCGGGAGCTTTTCCAGCGCCGCCCATTTGAGAGCCTCCTCATCGTCGGCCTCGTTTCTAGACGCCCGGGAAAAGACCTCGACGCCGGAGTTCCTCCATATGGAGTTGCTGTTTGCCCTGGAGCTCCCTCTGATGCTCCCTCCTCTCATAATCCCCGTGTCCGCCGCCTCCATCCTCCGCTGCGCTCCACCGCTCACACTGGTTTTCAATGGCCGGATAATGTGGCCGGGAAGAGCGTGCGTAGGTGCGTATCTCAGGGCTTAGATATATAGAGTTCGTTGTTTGAGTGGGATGGAAAATGCATGGCGATACATACTTTTATAGTTGCAGGTGGTTTGGGCGTCAAGCACTACATATAATGGTATAATGGGTATGTTTGGCAAATGGCTTATCAGCCAACTTTTAGCTTGTTTGACCTATTTTAGTTGTTTGATTAGTCAAAGAAGCTAATAATAATGTTTGGTAAATGGCTTATAAAATGAACTTGTTGAGTTTGAAAAGCTGAAAAAATGGATTGTTGAAGAAGCTAAGGGGACCAGTTTCTTCATTCAGCTGGTTCAATTTACACTCTATCAGCCATTTCAAAACAGCCAATTTTACCAAACAGTTATTTATAACAGCTAACATAACCAGCTGGTCAAAACAACTAACACAACCAGTTGTTAGGAAACAGCTGACACAACCAGCTAACAGCAACAACTAACAACCATTTACCAAACAAAGCCATTAAGCATTTTTCAAATTTTGGGTGAGCTGTAGTCCGCTCTTGTTCTATTTGAGTCGGTTCATAAATATAATGTCGTTGATTTGTGGCTCATCCATGATTGAGTCTAGGCATGGCAATGGGTCGGGGCGAGGCGGGTATTGTAAGACCCGGACCCGCCCCGTGACTTGGCGGGACGGGTCCGCCCCGCACCGTGACCTGCACAGGTCCAAACTTGTTGACCCATGACCCGCCAATGCGGGAAGTTTTGTTTGTGGGAAGTTGTTACCAATTGAATCTACATAATGTTTATCTCTAAATAATAATTAAAAATCAATATATTAAATCAAATTCATGATACGCTAAAAAATTCAAAAATTAAGGAAAAATTACTCAAACTTGAATAGTTAATCTAATTAGTTTTATTAATAATTGAATATATGTATTAGAATTCTATATATAAAGAAGACATTGATAATCCATCGTGCATCTCATTCTAATATATATTCATATATTATAAGATCAAAGAATTTATGATTTATTGTATACACACATATGTATGTTGAAGTATATTTGTAGTATAATTTAAGAAAAAGTATGTATACTTTATATTGAGCGGGTCGGGTCGGGTCGGGGCGGCACGGGTCAATTCTAATATCCGGGCCCGCCCCATTGTATAGGCGGGGCAGACCCGCCCCATTTGCAAGACCCACCCCAAATGTCTCGGGCCAGGGCGGGTCATTGCGGGTCGGTTGTTTTTACATCCCCTAATTGAGTCTCATGGAAGCTAAGACCGGGATCCATAGCCCCCCCCCCCCACCCACCACCATAGACTATATCATTATTGCAACATTTTGTATTTGCTATTACTTCTAGGAATAAATTATTACTGATAAAAAGAATAAGGGTACTCATAAAGCTCAAATGTGTAATGTGATGATCAGAATAGAACACTCTTGAATCTACTAATTAAGTAAATTAACAGATGAAAAAATGGCCTAAATATGACTAATTTAACTTAGGACCGAAATGTTGCCGTCTTTCCCAACCCCAAACTCATGTGTGCAAGTCATCAATCGATCTCTGCCTCCGGATCCAGCTCCTGCGCAATTCATCGAATCATCGATCTACCTCATCTCCGTCGCTGTCTTTCTTCCTCTCAAGTCATCGATCGAGCTTCTGCCTTCGGATCCAGCTCCTATGCAATTCATCGATCAAGCTCATCTCTGTCGCTTTCTTTCTTCCTCTAGCAAGTCTACTTGTCAAGCAATTGCTGGAGAGGACGCAATCGCTACAGTAAGGATGACGATTTCGCAGCTCTTCATCGTCATCGCCAAATCGATTTTAGATCTCGTTCTTCTTAATCTTCTTACCTAGCCATTCTTTTTCGTGTTTCGGGATGGGGCTGGGGCGACTGGACTTGCACAGGCGGCGGCCGTTGGGAAGGGGGCTAAGAAGGTCGGGGAGGGGGTTGGGGTGGTGCAGCGACGGTGGGGCAGTGGCGGTGGTGCGAGACTGGGGAGTGGGGGAGAATGACGGTGGTGTGGTGGTGGGGCGGTGGCGATGGTGCAGGGCTTGGAAGTGGTGGTGTAGGGGAGTAACAAACTCATCACAGAATCAATTTGAGTAAAGCAGGAGTAAAAGGATTGACACAAACTTTATTTTACTTATTACTATTAATATACTCCCTCCGTCCCGCAAAGATTTTCCGGATTTTCTTTTTTGGATGTCCTAAAAAGAAGTTCCCTTTCCCTAAATGAAAAGTTATCCTACATCAAAACAATATCAAACAATGCAAAACAGTGTCAAACAATGTCTAAACAGTGCAAAACAGTGTCTAAACAGTGCCAAACAATGTCTAAACAGTGCCAAACAATGTCTAAACAATAAAGTCAAATTTATTTCCTAAATATGTGTGTAGGTCAAACTGGGAACATCTTTGCGGGACGGAGGGAGTATCATTACTACGTAATACTAATAATCTTTTTTAAAAAATTGGGTCCCCATAAATTGGGAGGTCCTGTTCTGTAGAACATGTTGAACGTGCTAAAAACCGGCCCTGCTGGGGAGAGGTGGTCACCGGCAGGGAGGCGGTGGTCGAAGTAATTTGTGTCATTGTGACTGTCAGCGGCGGTTGCCGGACGGTGGAGATGTCACTGTGACCAGAGGTTGGGTGGAGATATCACTGTATACATTGTATTGTGGAGTTGTCACTACATATGTGTCACTGTGGCCGGCGGTGGCGACAGTGACATTCGATAGTGAGATGAAAATTGGACAGTGATATGAATATTTGATTGTCACTTTATTTTTGTCACATTTTTCAGAATTAATTTTAATTTAGTAATATTCAGATGGAACCCTCTTAACAGATCTACTATTCCTATTTAACAGTATTTTTTGAAACCTGTAACAATATTTTGTTCTTTGGTATCAATTGTTGCGGATGAAGAGAACTACATCAATTACTTATTCTTCGGTGTGGTTGTCTTGGAATTAATTACTCGAAATAGCTAATTATTTACTATAGTATTTGATACAATATATAGCAACCTTAGCAAATAATAGGATATTTTTTAAATTATTATTGCACTAAAGAGCACCTATTGCAAAAACTTACTTTAATATAGTTTATTTATTGAGAAAATTACTAGTATCATAACTAAAAGAAGCGGAGATTCCTAAAGTATGACCCGATCAATAGTTTTTTATACCCAAGATAATGGTATTTTGCATGTATCTTAGAGCCCGTTTGGTAGCACGAAAATCGGCTGTTTTGGCTAATTCTGCTGAGATTTATGAAGTTCTGGCTGAAGTGGCTGCATTGGCTGATTCTGCTAATATAAGAAAAAAAAATTAAAAATATATTTTATTAATAAAATAAAGAAAAAATTATATGTAAAAATAGCTAAAATGGTTATCTACAGTAACTTCAGCCAATACAGCCAGAAAAGTAACTTCAACCTTACTTTTTCTGCTTATCACACAATTCAGCGCGCGAAAGCAAAATTTACGTGTTTGGTAAAAAAGTTGGCTAATAAGCCTGATAAGTCGAAAATGAGGGTTGCCAAACGGCCTCTTAAATGTTTTTTGCTATTTGACTTCTTTCTAATCAATTATTACTCGATTCAATTATTACTCATGTAAATGCATGATTAAGTTTGTTAATGATATATTAATTAGAAATGTGTGTATGTGTAAATAAATTTTCCATATTTATTGTGTTTTCAGTCGTAAGCTTAGCACGTTTTGAAGAATAGTGACCAAATTGGAGGCTACAATGGCCTACCTATTCACCAACTTTTACATGCATATAACCGAAAATTTTTACCATGTCCGGTTGAAATAAAGTTCACTCTCTTCTTAAAATATACGGAGTACTTCATTTTGTTGGATAAAATGTAAGTATATTAAAAATCATCCAAAAGAGTTTATTTGTACAGCAAAAGAGCATGGAAAAAAATGCAAGCTATCCAAAGATTGAATAACTCATCACCTCAAAAGACTACATGCATTCTAGGCTATCTAAACTAGCACACGGCCAACCATGCACAACAAAAATAGGTGATGGGTAGCTCAAAGTTTATCAAAAGACTACAAGATCATGTAGATATAAGCTATACAAGATCTTGTACACAATGTACTTTATCTTTGCAAAAACATCTTCTTCCTTTGGAGCAAGTCCATCAAATCTAGTTGCATTCCTTGTACTCCGAATCCAATATATAGAAAAGCAAAACACTATCCGAGAGGCTTTAGCTTGAACATGGGCACTGATGGATAGTCTACCCAGGGGGTGTCTTATCCGAGGGGTTATTACGGAATAACCTAGAGAGAAGTCAGAGCAAGCAAGTAGGAGAGAGAGGAGATTATTATTTATGAATTCGAGATGTTCTCCTCCTTTACAACGGGGAAAGGGGGTGCTATTTATAGTAGTAATAAATGTGATGAAGGTACACATGTCAACAATCTGACGGCCGAGGGGTCACCTCAATTGGGTGGCACTGACATTCGCATGTGCACCGCATTGAATGCGGTGGGTGGATGTGACGTCACATTAAATGCGGTGGTTGCTTATCTTCAAAGGGAATCTTCGATGATTGAGCTGTTGGCCGAAGGCTCTCCCCGCAACCGAAGGCTTCCCTGATGCCGAAGGCACCTTCATGGCCGAAGGCTACCTTCATGGCCGAAGGCTACCCTCATGGCCGAAGGCTACCCTCATGGCCGAAGGCTACCCTCATGGCTGAAGGCTACCCTCATGGCCGAAGGCCTTGTGTAGCCGAAGGCTACCCTCATGTCGAGGTCTCTCTTATGGCCGAAGGGTCCTGATTTCTGCAGTTTTCTCGCTGTAGCTTTGTATGCTCAAATCTGTCTGTCATGTGAGATTTGGAGCCCTCGGCCAAGGAGGCCGAAGGCACCCATGTGTGCACCGTGGGTTTCTTTAAGCTTGGGCCGCTGTGTTCGGACCTTGTGTGCTCATTTGGCTCATTTGGTCCTGTGTAGGAGGAGTGGAAGTCTGTGGGCCGGGGGTCCCTGGGCCATATACTCCATCAGGCACCACTTCTCTCCTGTGTCCATTTAGCTGCACTAGCCAACGTCCCCATTTGCCGCGGCATTGCCATCCAATTCTTCACCATGATTCAAACTTTACATGAAAATGAGCATTTAAATCAAAGTATAGGTGTGGAACCATTTCCGATCCACTCTTGCAAAATACACAAGTGTTAACTACATCTATCTAATCTAAAGAGATTATCATATATAACCAACCTATTACGAAAAGCCAACCATGTAGTAAAGGAAAACATACGGAGTACTTCGTATGTATAGTAGGTCATAATAATTAAAATTTACATTTTTGAATCTTGACAGGAAGCTCTTTTGAATTGCAAAAACTGAACCAAAAAATGTTAAAGATTTACATATATAATTAGAGATTTAGAGATTAAAGGAAAGTTAAGTTGATTGCCTGAATAGTGTACGTGATCCATAAACTGAGACTTAGAGATCGAATACATGCAGGGACGAAGTCAGGGGTTCGGATACGTGGTCAACCAACTCTCCTGAAAGTTCAATAATATAGAGCATCGAATACCTTTGATTTGATATATTACGGCTCTCTTAGCTCATTATAAGTAAAAATTATGTCTATGGGAAAATCAACATTATCTAAACAAGAAATGATTAAAATTTGGTGTAATATTGATTATAATTACAAATTTTAAAAGTAGCATCTAATTCACTCATTACTTACGTGAAGTTACAATATAATATGACATGTGTATCAAATCTGTAACTCTATTAGATTTTCTTATGTTTAAGAAAATAAAATCAAATCCCGCCCATTGATTTCAAATAAAGTTTTCATTTTGTTGATTCCTAGATGTAGTGATTATTCTCCTATGCTAGTTATTAGCAGTAATAAAATAAAACAGAATTTACCAGTAAAACCTATAGTCTAACCAAAAAAGAACAGCATGCTGTTAGGGTATCTTGTCCTCCATCGTGCGAGTCTGGTGGGGTGGCCTCCTAAGTGCGGCTTCGGCACTACGTAGTGTCTTCTTCGTCTTCCAAGTATACCCCTTAGGATTCCCTTAAATTAAACCTAGGGATATACCCCTCAGGGTTTCCTTAAATTGGCTGATTACTCGGTACATGTGAATAATGTGTCGTATGGCTTTGTGACGCTAGAAGTAGCACAAAGAATTGGAAATTATATGGGAAGTTTTGTCAAAATTGATGAGAAATAGTTTGAGAGCAACCAGAATGCCTATATGCGGGTTAGAATCTGGTTGGATATAATAAAACCTCTAAAGACTGGGACAACAATTCAAAAAAGTAGGGGGGCTATTGGCTGGAGTTCAAATATGAAAAATGCCTAATTTTTTTTTTGTATGTGGAATAATTGGTCATGCAGATAAGTTCTGTCCTTCGGAGTACAAGAAAGGGGATACTGTTTTGACAAAGCCATATGGTTCATGGCTTAGATCGGGAGGAGGGAGATTTCGACCACCGAATTTGACAAATGGCTGGTTCAAGAAGGGGCTTCATCGGCATGAGTGGGTAGGTCGCCGCAGGGTACAAGCAGGACCAAGAAGATCTGCAAACAGGAAGGATTAAGGAGGGGAGACATGGTTGGTAAGTAATAGTGGCAGAAGCGAGGGAGGGCCAATCAGGAGGATTGGAGACAACTATTTCGAGGGTGACCCCGGAGATCAAAAGAGGAGGCACATGTGGGAGGAGCAGTTAAGGAATGATCAATCTATGGTAGGAATGCCTATGGTTATCGGGCTCGTCTATGCCTCTCAAGCTACCAGATCATCAAGCTTCTCATAGCTATGGGGTGACATTTTAATTCAAGTTGTTGTGTTTTATTTTGTTTTTTCATTATGAACTGCACGTTTTGTTGTTGTGTTTTTGCTCGTTACTAGTAGTACTCCGCAAATTAGGATGGATGATGAGAAGTCTATTTCGATCATCTTTGGCTCATTTATGCCCAATTTAGGATCAACGAGTCATATTGCTATTTGAGAGTTTGATTAACTCTAAAATTGGTTAGTGGGCTGATTGTCGGAAGAGACTTTAGCCTTTTTGTAACTTGCATGAACTCTTATTCCTCAATATAAGTCACTTTTTTTCAAAAAAAAAAAAAAAAAAATAGAAGAAACTATAGGTCTAACCTTCTCAAGACTAGAATTGATAAATGAAATCTAGCACTTGTCCAACCAACCTCATACTATGATGTGATCAATAGATTAAATATTCTACTTAGAATACTGAAATCATTCTTGTTTTTCAAAATTTTCATTTCCCATTTCGCGATAGCTTAAGTAATAGAATAGAAGACTGAAAATTCTCTTGTCACTGGTTCAAATCGGGTCCGTGGCATCATAGTCAATCTAACCAGATTTACCTCATGTAGACGCAATTAAGAATGCAACATAAGTACTCTATTTATGCATGCACATTCATATATATGACGTGTATTCAACACATAATATAATGTATTATTATCATTTCCTTACAAATACTAGTGGAATGATAGTACATATCCCTCCAAGAGACTCATTAGTATTCAGGTTGAAGTTAGTGATTGCTTCCCGCTCTCATGCTAAGATTGTGACTGAAGTAAAGACTTGGTTTTTACTTCATTTCCCCATTGCATTTGATTTGAGAATTAATTATAAAAACTCGTGGATAAATACTTGTGATTTCTCCAATGTGGTAAAACCGTAAAATATTAAATAAAATATTAAATATTGTGATTTGCTTGGTGTGTATGATACACATGACATGACAATGACACACTACATTATTTGATAAAGGTGTCTTAACAATTTATACAGCATCGTCGACGTTCCAGATCGGTCCGAAGGGTGACATCTTTTGGGTAAGCCCCACCAAGAGCTAAAATAAAGGGATCATAAGTTGGGTTGTCTCAAAAAAAAATTACCATTCATTTTACTGGATACAAATGAAAAAGGTTTAATTTGGCCCTCTCTTAAATAAAGGGATCATAAGTTGGGTTGTCTCAAAAAAATTTACCATTCATTTTACTGGATACAAATGAAAAAGGTTTAATTTGGCCCTCTCTTGTACGAAGTATGTACATAATTGATAGGGATAATTGATAGGGAGTATCACTCACTTTAACAAAGCTATCGGGGAACAGTTGAAAATACTAATTTAAAGTAAAAGTATGGATTTTAAAAGGGATAATAGTATGGTACTCATACCCTGTCCACATGGATCAATAAACATATTGCAATTGAATAATTCAAATATAACTAAATGATGAAATAATGACTTTGGCCAATCAAATACATGATAAGTACGGTACTCTCAATTTTTAGTGAGTACCGTAGCATTCACCTTTAAAAAAAACCATTGCGTGCATTGTGAAAATATTGCAATAACACAACCTCTATATACATTTCTTAAGAAAATCTCATCAAGATATCAAGTAAATGGGTCATTTTTTGCAAAAATAAAAAATTTAGCCTTTCATTTTTTTGAATACAAAGGGATAATGTCTAATTTGGCTCTCTTAGGACATAACTGATAGGTTATCTTTCACTTTAATGGAACAATGTAAGATCTTTGGGAAGCTACTTGTCTGAACTAAAATTATGATGAAATTAAATGAAAGATGTATAAGGAAATAAAAGTTTTAATTTCAACATGAGTTGTTCAAATAATACAATAACGTAAGTTTTATGAGAATGATATTTGTGATCATTACCCACTCACAATAACTTTCAAATCCAAAACACGATCGAATAAGTTTAAGTTCTCTTATGCAAATATAACTAAATACGGAGTGATAATTCTCTTTTTAATGGATATTTGGTTGAGAAAGTTTTCATTATTCATATAAACTATCATTTTTTTTAGATTTATTACACTACTTTTACTCTTGAAAACCATTCCCAAAATAAACCTTTTGACTAGGAAACACCATCTTCTTCCATTTCCAAATATGGTTTAAGTACATCTCAAATATTCAAGAACCATTTTGGAAAACAAGCCACCCTCATATCTCATCAAATAAATTGGGATGATCAAAATGACTTTCAGTAAATGCTTGTTGAGAACCAATTCAAATGAGTAAAAAAAAATCATGGTCTCTTCCAAGAATATCAACTGATCCAATTCTATACTTAAGTCAAATACACCAAAACGTCATCCTACACACCCAAAAAGCCTTAGTCACAATCCACTCATCTACTCTAAAGAGTATAAGTAATTTTTCTAAATCTGATGATAGTTTTGTGTGTCTAATAGAAAAATGGTTTTGGACCGAGAATGATAAAGGAGTTTACATAATTTTATACCTCCCTTAAAAATAAAATTATTTTTGTGCATATATTTTTGTTGAAACTAACCAAGGCATCTGAGATGAAGAAATTGCTCGAGGACGAGCAATGCTCAAGTGTGGGGGGATTTGATAGCCGTTATATTTACTTGTGTTTAACATAAGTATTTATAAGTATTTGTTGAAGAAAAGGAGAGAAAGCGGGCAAATAACTTCATAATACGAGCTAGAGCAATAATCATTGCGATGGACGACTTTTTGGATCAAAAGGATGACGTTCCGCCCATAAATTGAGTATAACTTATTGTAGAGAACTCGAAATAACTCGATTCGAATTTCATGTGAATGTTAACTCAATAAAGTACAAATGTTATGAAGACGTCATGGCCAAAATATGAAAGGAACAAGACCCAATCAACCAATAAAGTCAGATATTGGTGGTGGGATTTCAGGATGCATACCTCTAAGTGTTTTATCCATATCTTTTGATTGGATGAATAAAATCACGTCATTCAAGTTTTGGTGGATAGAAGACTTCATTATCTACAACTTTGGTGAAGGAATCATGTCCAAATTTGTAGCGGAACATCCCCAAAATCCCAGGACAAAACCAGAACCGGAATTTGCACCAAACCCACGCTGGTTTGTTAATTTTCGCATGTCACAAACCAGTAGCTTACCCGGCGCCGGGTAGGCGTTATAACCGGCGCCGGGTAGGTCCGATTCTGCACAAAATAGTCCAACGTGCAAGAGGATTTTTGATGGGAAAACTTCATCTTCCTCAAGTGTGATCAAATATTGCTTCCATACCTTATTGTTGGGCTCGAATAGATTAAAAGATGTCATTCTTTAGCCTATATAAAGCCCTCAATTCATCATTCAAACACATTCCATTCCATAGACTAAAAGATGTCATTCTTGCTATTTTTCTTCAAGTTCTTGAGGAGGAAACTTCAACCTCCGAAATCATTGGTGTTTAGGTATTATTTCCTTTGTAATTTCATGTTCCATTACATTTCAATATTGTATTGTGATTAATATGAGCATTAGAGGCTAATTTCTTAGCTAAGGCTGTGGATGAACTTCTATGCCCACTAGGTGTTTGATAAAAGTTCTAAACCAATAAATTGTGATTTATCCTTTACATTTTGATTGTTTATGACTATGGTGTACAACATAGAAGTATGTTAAACTTAGTTTATTCTTGCAATTAACGTTGAGGTCTAAACTATGAACATTAAAGGATAAACATATATATTACCGAGAATAGAAATATATCTGGTATTATATGATATGGGTGTGATGTCTTGATATTCAACGGGGTTTTCGGTAGATGAATGTAAGCCGGAACGGGACTTACACGTAACGAAAACCACACTCTCGTTGCCTTAATCGGAGTTGAGAATATATTAGCGACATCGTATTCATAATTATTGGCAAAAAACTAATATTCAACCCTATTAAAGCATTTAAGTGATTCTCGAAGCCTTAGTCGTTGTAATCATTCATCTAAAAACCGAATTAATTAAAGTTATTTCCTTGAATTAAAAGTGAAAAGCCAAAAATATAAAACACAACTCAAAATCCCTGCACTTTATTCATTTCAATATTTAAAGTTATCTACTCTCGGACTTGAATTAAACAACATTTCCCTGTGGATTCTACCCGGTATTTTACCGGAATTTATTACTATATCGGCACTTGTACACTTGCAAGTTTAGCCCGGTCAATTTCATATTGAGCTCCAAAGACATGTTATTGGAATGGGTGGCTCCTACTAGAGTACTAGATCCCCATTAAGAACCGCTCGTGCGAGTTCCCTATTTAAGGCTCAAATGGAAAGGTCAAAGAAAAAGAGGACAAAAAAAAGAGGACAAAAGTGAAAAGAAAACTGAAAAAGAAGGAGATGAAACAGAGCAGAGTGGTGGCTGCGAGGAAAGAAAATGAAGACAGAGCAACGAAAGAGAAGAGAAAAGAAACAGGAAAAGAAAGAAAAGAAATAAATGGAAAATTAAAAATGTGAAGCCCAATTATATTAAGCCATGTGGCCGAGCTACCTGCTGAACTTGTTTATTCAAGTTACGGCTCATTTTTTGAAGCTGCCCAGTATAGTTTAGATTATTTTAGAATTGCACATAATTGAGATTAATATGAGAAGATTGTCAATAGGTGGAATTATTAATGTGAATTTTTCCTATTTTATATCAAATACGGAGTAATTGTTTTAGAATTCAGGATGCCCTCACGGTAAATTGATGAATAAGTTTAAGTTATCATTAGATACACAATGCACATGAATGGTAAATAATTTACCCAATTTTGTGTTGAAAGTTTTGTAAATAGAGATCTTGAAATGATAGAATTAGAACATGAGCAGTGGAGTCCACAAAATGCACCACATGGCGTAGTAACGAACCATATCAGCACGTCCAGAAGCATAGATTATAGAGAAGCAGACCATGGAGAGGTAGAGCGTGGTAACGACCGCCCTCCTACTTTCGCAACAAATCATTCACCCGGACAAGAAATTGCGAAAGTCGCCTACCGGAAAGAACAAACTCTAGACGAAAGCGGGGGAGAAGATGTGTGGAGAAGCAACCTCCGAGAATTAATTTTCCGAATTCAACTTGAGCACCATGATAAACTGATCCCTTATATGTATCTCTACAAACTAATAAAGATGAATGAGGGTTAATACCTTTTTGGGTATGAAAAATTTGTTGGTGTAACTTTATTGTTATATGAGGTTGTACCGTGTGATTTAAGTATTGTACTAGATTTGTACGGTTTACTTTTGGGAACAAACGATTCATATTTTTCCGTTAGTACAACCTTAAAGTAACTCATTACTTTACTGGCCTTATCCTTCAATAGATTAAGGTTAATTATCCGCAATTCATCCTAATAGACCTCTTTAATTAAATGTTATTACAGAATTCTTTTCACATCATCCCATTATGTTTGAATGTTGCAAAGATGAAATGGTGGGATTTGAGTGATTGTTCAAGGCATCTTATGAGATTACGAAATCCAACATTAATCTATTTTTATCCATCAAAATAAGTTTTGATTATAAAGGTATGTTGCGTACCTTGATAAAAAATATATGATTGATTATGAATTAATGACATTTTCTTTTCCTTCATTTTAGTGAGGCAATCATTAGATATTACATCATTTGTATGATTATTTAAATTTTATAACTATTCTACAAGTAGGAAGTCCTGTTATCAATTTCTACTAGCGAAAAAAGTAATTAAATATTTGGCTTTGAGCTAGCTAATCGTGCAACACACATGAAGAAAAAGGTGAGAAAACATATGCCACGTGCTATATATAATTCATCCCCTTTTCAAATCTTTTCCATTTCAGAACCCATTTGGAGACCCCTTTTTCGGCTTATCGGGCTCATCGGCCAGTATTTTCATCAAACACGTAACTTTTTGATTTCGCGTGCCAAATTTTCTTATAAGCAGAAAAAATAAGGTTGGTGTTACTTTTCTGGTTGTATTGACTGAAGTTACTGTAAATGATTATTTTAGCTATTTTTTCATATAATTTTTATTTAATTTATTAATAACCAATATTTTAATTTTTTTTCATGAATCAGCAGAATCAGGCAATACAGTCACTTCAGCCATAACTTTATAAATTTCAGCAGGATCAGCCAATTCTGCCAATTTTAGTGTTACCAAATGGGCTCTCAATGATCCTTTCTTATTCAGATTTTCAATGTGCTAATGTTGCGTTGTTATATATGCTTGTATAATTGTTGAATTTCACAAGAAGAGTTGGGTAATATAAATATTTTGCCATCTAAAGTTAATTAATATTCAGCTTTTTAGTCTTCTTTTGAAACAGTTGTTGGCTACCTTGTTAGCATCCTGGAGGATTAAGTGCTTGTTTACTGCAGATTTTTATATTTGTATGTAGCTTTTGAAGGCTTTGAGAGAGACATACACAAATAGAATATAAACAAATCAAGTTCGCACCTGAAACCAAAGTTTCATATGCCCATGCTTTTAGAACAAGAGCTCAAGAACAACTTGAAGTGCAAGAAAAATTTAACACAGTTGATGCTAAGCTTGCAGAAGCAAGTTGGAAAAATTAAGAGCTTCACATAAAATGGCACAACTTGAGGCCCATAAAAATGTCTATAGGAAATAAAGACTATCCTTCAAGAGATAGTAATTTTTTTTCTTTATTTAAACTCTTTATGGGGTACTAATGTTTAGGACTTGCAAATTAAAAAGAGTGAGCATTCCAACTAACATGAGAACCTCCATGTGTATTGCAAAACTATGACTTTGAATATTAATGAAGCCATACAATCATTGGTCAACAAAGGGAGTGTCGGGTTAAAAATACTTGGTGTTGTTGATAACATTATAGACAACTTGTGAAGCCCGGTTAAAAGCATCACATAAGACATGCTTTTCAAATGATATTTTTTTTCAAGTAAAACACAATAAATTACAATTTTATGCTACGTAGTACACAACATATACATTGGGCGCTATCCCAATCGCGCAACGCGCGTTACAAAAACTAGTTCATAAAACAAATATGCCAAGGAGCAGCTAAAACTCCATGCGCTATGTATTTATACTAGTAATTAATGAGTCGATGCATCAAATGCATTACACATGTTGATTATTCTATGGGTGAGAGTCCTAGGGCGTAGCAGAACTTGACTTGTGTCATTCTCTAACCGACTTCTAGCTAGGTGTATTTTGTTGGCCAAGGTGACGATGGCCGAGGTGCAAGGGTACGTGCACTCCGGGTCTGATGTTATCCTTGCTCATGGGTTATTTGCCTCGGATCTTGGACTTGATTTGATTGAGAGGCCTCAAGTAGGGTTGTAAACGAACGAAATCGAGTTAAATAGTGTGACTTTGTATTTGTATTTGTTTCATTTCTTTGAATATGAAGCGGATATTATTTTTTATATGTATTCGTATTTGTTTAATGATATGAACAGGGGCGGCTTGAGAGACTTGGAGGCCCCAGACAAAACACATTTATATTTACAGATCAAATTAATTCAATTTATACTACCTTCGTCGCTGAAAGGTTCGTCAAATTGACTTTTTCTGGTCAATGATACTAAACTTTGGACAATGATTTTAGTGATTTTATTTGTATATAATTTCTAAATTTTATACTCTTATGAAAATATATTGAATAATGAATACTTTGATATAATTTTCATATTCAAAATAGTTTTGTATTGAAAATAGCATTTGTCAGAGTTAATTGTCGTTGACCAAGAAAAGTAAATTTGATGAACCTTTTCGAGACGGAAGGAGCATTTTTTTGCTAGACTTTCTCTCTTTCTTATTATATCTATTCTGTATTAATTCAAGGGTTTTTTACAAGAATATTACTAAAATAAAACTTATTTACATAAATATGACTATTCATTACTATAACGTAGTGTTGTCGTAACTTAAGTTCAAAACTTGAACATGAATTACTATGATTTCATTACTACTCTAGTAACTAGCAGTGGCGGAACCAGGACCCGTTACTCGCAGGGGCACAATAACCAAGAAATCACTGGTCAGTCTCCATCGACCGTCACAGAGATGCTCACAGTCCGTCGGCCACTACAAAAAAACATTGAATTTGTCACAGATATTAGTCAGGGATTTCGTCCCCAACAGGCTTGTCAGTGATTTAGTTAGGGATTTAGATAAAAATCGATCAAATAGTTTAGTTACGGAAAAATCCCTAACAAAATGTGTCAGTGATTTCGTCCCTAACAAAATCTTCCACAAACTGTTCAAAACTGCCGCTGACAAGGTCATTTTGGCCGGAATTTGCAATTTAGTTTGTTAGGGATCAAATCCCTAACAAAAAAAAAAGGAGTTCCAAAGTAACTAATTTAATTTGTCACCGAAAATATCCCTGACAAAAATTATAATATGTTCTTGTCACCCATAAAATCCCTAAGAAAAGAATTTCTTGTCCCTCTCCCCCAAACTAACGCATTACCAATGCTCTATCATGGATATTTCCCTAGCTAAATCCCTAACAAGCCATCTCTTTCCCTTCCCCATGCCGCCTGACACATTACATTTTCGAGATTCCTTTCCCTTCCTCAGGGCGCAAATTATACCGTGGGATCGGCCCACCATGAGCACGGTGTACCGATCCCAATACGGTATCGTTTTACTATTAAAAAAGAGAGCGAAGCATCATTCTTATTTCTCAGCGAGGTGAGCTCCTTCCGATCTGTTCCCAGTTTCCCATCGCTAGCTCCGGATTGTGAGATGTCAGGTCTGCAGTGAGGATCGAATTTCAGATTTGTGATTGTCATCTGCCATGGTTGGAAGCTGCTGCATGAACGAGGACTTCCTGGAGCTGCTTAATGCCCTCTCTCCTGCCGCCACGCCGAAACGGCCACTGATCGCTGATGTTTTCTTTTCTAATTCAAAGTATTCATTAAGTTTAATTTGTTGCTTGAAGAAAGCCACAAAGAGATAAGAAAGCACAAAATACATTCAATCATTGTTCTTATCAAGTGCGTACATATATTCTAATAAGTTATTACCCTAAATAAGAGTAAAATAATGAGAAAGTTCCAAAGTAGGAGTTATTGTTAATTTATTCCCTAAATATTTCATTTTAACGTGATTTTACATCTTTTTACATGTGAGTTACATCATTTTATGCGCAAGTTACATCATTTTATGTGCGAGTTATATATATCAGTGTAAGTTACATTTTGCATACATGTAAGTTACATTTTCTATCAACACAAGTTACATTTAGCCTAACACGAGTTACATCATAGATAACCTCTACTACTGAACAACAAAAAAAGATTTTTTTCAAATAATCTTTATGTCTTTGATATTAAAAACAAAAATATTCACTATTTATGTAAAGTAATGAGTAACTAGACTCTGTTTTTTTCATTGTTAACGTTGAAATCAATGTTTTTATTTCTTATACTATGTATTTGACAAGTTACATTTCGACTGGAGTTGAGTTACATTGATCAATAACATGAGTTACATTAATTTACACGCGAGTTACATTGTTCATGTTACTGGGACAAAAAAACAGTTACTGTTCACGCGTTACTGTTCACGCGGTACTGTTCACGCGAATTTTTAAAAAAAAGTTGTGCGAAACAACGTCGTTTTGGGTGTGGGAGCACGGTGCTCACCGTGGGGTGATACCACGGTATACGAACTCTCCTCAGGGATATTTCCCTAACAAAACGTTTTATAAATAAAGTGGACTCCTCATTTTTTTTGGCCAGAGCCTCCTTCCTCAATCCACATCTTAACCCTACGCAGTAAACTTCCTCCCACCGCCGCGGAATCCGCCATCGCCGACGCAACCCAAAGCCTCCTTCCTTGTTCTATACTGCCGCAGCCGTCCTTAAGTCCGTCGCCGCCATTCTGTAGCCGTCCGTACTCGGCTTGTGAAGATATCTCTTATTATACACATGATTTTTTATCTTTTATTGTTCATCTTCGTATGGAAACTATTTTTTCAGACTGTAAATGCCTATTGAAACTGTTATTCAGCTTTTAATTACGGAGTATTTGCTTTTGTATACATGCCTATTCGAATTGTACATGCTTTTGTGTACATGATTTTGAGCATTCAGTTTTTTTTTTTAGTTTTTTGGACTGTAAATGCCTATTCAAACTCGTTTTCATCTTTTAATATGCTTTTTATACATGCCTATTCGAACCGTACATGCTTTTGTGGACACGCTTTTGTGCATTCAGTTTTTTTTTGTTTTTTTTTTCGGACTTTACAACGCCTATTCGAAAATGTATTCTAGTTTTAATTATTTTAAAAGCTCTTACCTATTTCAAACATGCTTGTGTTATACTTCATATATTTACTGCTTTGAACTCTATTTTTTAAGTCTTCTTTTTTTCAGACTCTACATCTCGGTTTAATGTGTTACTAAAAACACCAATTTGTAATAAAAATTGTTTAACAATTTTTTATTAGTTTTCTCGGGGGCGGCATGCCTGGGGGGCATTGGGGGCATTAAAAATATGCCCGGTGGCATGGAGAGCATGCCTGGCGGCATTGGAGGCATTGGGGGCATGCCCGAGCCCGACAGTCAGCCCGAGCCGGACAGTCAACCGGGAGGTCAACAAAGAAGTCGACAACAATATAATGAAATCAATTTGAAGTGGGTCAATTTTTATGACCCAAAGAATGGGGGTGCCGATTTGTAATTTTATTCTGTTGTTTGGTTTGTAGTACAATTAATTTTTTTATGCTCTCAGACTGTTGTCACGGATTATTTCCGTTACTATTTTTTTTACAACAGTTTCACTTTGTCATGGATTTATCCCTGACTATTATAATATATTTTAAAATATTCATAAAATTGGCTGACTATTTTGTCAGGGATTTGAATCCCTCACAGAGTTCGCCGGCGGAATCTCAGTTCGTGGTTATGGATTTTTCCGCAACAAATCCCTAACAAAATTTGTCAGGGATATTTTATCCCATACAAAGATTTGTCAGGGCGCTGGAGTCAGTGATAAAATCCCTAACAAAATCTCTAACAAAACTGTTTGTTAGGGATTTTTTGAACTATCGTCCCTAACAAATTCCTTGACAAATTCAATGTTTTTTTGTAGTGGGCCTTCGCTAAGTTGCTAGAGTTGATTGCTTGCTGCAGACTGATGTGAGTTTGAAACGCCGATTCCGCCGAACTGCCGAAGCGATATGGGGGCTAAGGAGAAAGGGAAGCTGGGCTTGAGTTGAGCTGTTGAGCCTTAATGGATTGGGCTACTGGGGAAGAGGGAAGTGAGATTGAACCGAACAAACAAGAGAAAGGGGGAATTGGGATTGGGCTGCAGGGGCTCAAATTAATAAAAATTAAAATATGTATATATATTTAAAAGAAAAGTAATTCACTGCAGGGGCACGGGCACCTCCGGGCTCTATGGTGGTTCCGCCCCTGATTCGAACCGTACATGCTTTTGTGGACACGCTTTTGTGCATTCAGTTTTTTTTTGTTTTTTTTTTCGGACTTTACAACGCCTATTCGAAAATGTATTCTAGTTTTAATTATTTTAAAAGCTCTTACCTATTTCAAACATGCTTGTGTTATACTTCATATATTTACTGCTTTGAACTCTATTTTTTAAGTCTTCTTTTTTTCAGACTCTACATCTCGGTTTAATGTGTTACTAAAAACACCAATTTGTAATAAAAATTGTTTAACAATTTTTTATTAGTTTTCTCGGGGGCGGCATGCCTGGGGGGCATTGGGGGCATTAAAAATATGCCCGGTGGCATGGAGAGCATGCCTGGCGGCATTGGAGGCATTGGGGGCATGCCCGAGCCCGACAGTCAGCCCGAGCCGGACAGTCAACCGGGAGGTCAACAAAGAAGTCGACAACAATATAATGAAATCAATTTGAAGTGGGTCAATTTTTATGACCCAAAGAATGGGGGTGCCGATTTGTAATTTTATTCTGTTGTTTGGTTTGTAGTACAATTAATTTTTTTATGCTCTCAGACTGTTGTCACGGATTATTTCCGTTACTATTTTTTTTACAACAGTTTCACTTTGTCATGGATTTATCCCTGACTATTATAATATATTTTAAAATATTCATAAAATTGGCTGACTATTTTGTCAGGGATTTGAATCCCTCACAGAGTTCGCCGGCGGAATCTCAGTTCGTGGTTATGGATTTTTCCGCAACAAATCCCTAACAAAATTTGTCAGGGATATTTTATCCCATACAAAGATTTGTCAGGGCGCTGGAGTCAGTGATAAAATCCCTAACAAAATCTCTAACAAAACTGTTTGTTAGGGATTTTTTGAACTATCGTCCCTAACAAATTCCTTGACAAATTCAATGTTTTTTTGTAGTGGGCCTTCGCTAAGTTGCTAGAGTTGATTGCTTGCTGCAGACTGATGTGAGTTTGAAACGCCGATTCCGCCGAACTGCCGAAGCGATATGGGGGCTAAGGAGAAAGGGAAGCTGGGCTTGAGTTGAGCTGTTGAGCCTTAATGGATTGGGCTACTGGGGAAGAGGGAAGTGAGATTGAACCGAACAAACAAGAGAAAGGGGGAATTGGGATTGGGCTGCAGGGGCTCAAATTAATAAAAATTAAAATATGTATATATATTTAAAAGAAAAGTAATTCACTGCAGGGGCACGGGCACCTCCGGGCTCTATGGTGGTTCCGCCCCTGATTCGAACCGTACATGCTTTTGTGGACACGCTTTTGTGCATTCAGTTTTTTTTTTCGGACTTTACAACGCCTATTCGAAAATGTATTCTAGTTTTAATTATTTTAAAAGCTCTTACCTATTTCAAACATGCTTGTGTTATACTTCATATATTTACTGCTTTGAACTCTATTTTTTAAGTCTTCTTTTTTTCAGACTCTACATCTCGGTTTAATGTGTTACTAAAAACACCAATTTGTAATAAAAATTGTTTAACAATTTTTTATTAGTTTTCTCGGGGGCGGCATGCCTGGGGGGCATTGGGGGCATTAAAAATATGCCCGGTGGCATGGAGAGCATGCCTGGCGGCATTGGAGGCATTGGGGGCATGCCCGAGCCCGACAGTCAGCCCGAGCCGGACAGTCAACCGGGAGGTCAACAAAGAAGTCGACAACAATATAATGAAATCAATTTGAAGTGGGTCAATTTTTATGACCCAAAGAATGGGGGTGCCGATTTGTAATTTTATTCTGTTGTTTGGTTTGTAGTACAATTAATTTTTTTATGCTCTCAGACTGTTGTCACGGATTATTTCCGTTACTATTTTTTTTACAACAGTTTCACTTTGTCATGGATTTATCCCTGACTATTATAATATATTTTAAAATATTCATAAAATTGGCTGACTATTTTGTCAGGGATTTGAATCCCTCACAGAGTTCGCCGGCGGAATCTCAGTTCGTGGTTATGGATTTTTCCGCAACAAATCCCTAACAAAATTTGTCAGGGATATTTTATCCCATACAAAGATTTGTCAGGGCGCTGGAGTCAGTGATAAAATCCCTAACAAAATCTCTAACAAAACTGTTTGTTAGGGATTTTTTGAACTATCGTCCCTAACAAATTCCTTGACAAATTCAATGTTTTTTTGTAGTGGGCCTTCGCTAAGTTGCTAGAGTTGATTGCTTGCTGCAGACTGATGTGAGTTTGAAACGCCGATTCCGCCGAACTGCCGAAGCGATATGGGGGCTAAGGAGAAAGGGAAGCTGGGCTTGAGTTGAGCTGTTGAGCCTTAATGGATTGGGCTACTGGGGAAGAGGGAAGTGAGATTGAACCGAACAAACAAGAGAAAGGGGGAATTGGGATTGGGCTGCAGGGGCTCAAATTAATAAAAATTAAAATATGTATATATATTTAAAAGAAAAGTAATTCACTGCAGGGGCACGGGCACCTCCGGGCTCTATGGTGGTTCCGCCCCTGGTAACTAGTCATATTTTTGTAAATCATCTTTATTTCGGTCATATTTAGGTAATAATTTCGTAATTCAATCTATATATAAATAAGTCATAAAATATGATTAAAATGAGATAAATTGAATAAAAATACACTAGAAACAAATCATATTCAAAAGCAAACAATATAATACTTCGTATAAACATCAAAAGAATAAGTTTTCATTACTCCGTATAAAGATATGCAAAATATACAGTAACATGTACTCCGTACTTTTTAATACTCTATTGGCGTATTTTGAATATCAAAAATGTTTGAGGTACACACTTTGTGTACACACTTTGTGTACACTCGTCTGTCTCTTAAGAAAATTTTGTCTGTCACAGACAATTCATATATGAGTTGTCTGTGACAGACAAAATTTTCTTAAGAGACAGACGAGTGTACAAAAAGTGTGTACACAAAGTGTGTACCTCTAGCATTTCTCTTTGAATATTTACTTGGATATTACTAATTTTGAACTATTTACCCAAAAAGTGACCACTTTTAAAAAGAGACAAAAAAATGATCAAGAATGTCATATATGTGCAATTAGAAAACATGATGTAACTGTAAAAATTTTATGTCACTGTGTTCATTTTTGGTAACTACAGCCACCACCCGTGTCATTGTACCCAACGCCCGTGTCACTGTACTACAAGACAGTGGCTAAAATGACACGGGCGGTGGCTAAAATGACACGGGCGGTGGCTAAAATGACACGGGCGGTGGCAAGAGTGACACGGGCGGTGGCTACAGTGACACGGGCGGTGGCTACAGTGACACGGGCGGTGACTACAGTGACTGTAGTCACCGCCCGTGTCACTGTAGCCACCGCCCGTGTCACTCTTGCCACCGCCCGTGTCATTTTAGCCACCGCCCGTGTCACTTAAGCCACCGTCCGTGTCACTATAGCCGTCGCCACAGTGACGCTGCCGCCATCCCACACAACCTTATTACCCGCCCAGTCTGCTCTGAGACACGCCATGGCCCCCATCATAAGTCCCCAGCACCCAACACCTCGAAACACAGCACCATTGCTCCAACTGATTTCCGTCAAAATCTCCGATCAACACCCTGCTCCCCTCCACGGCTCACCAGTGCCGCCCTGCCGCGTACAGTGTATCTGCCCAGCCAGGGCCGAACCTACCCTTGAGGCAAAGAGGCAATTGCCTCAGGCCCAAAAATTTTGGGATAAAATTAGGGCCCAAAATATACTATTTTCTTTTATACATATGCCCATAGCTAGTATGCCCAATTTGAATTTGCAACTTCCCAAATTCCAACGTCAAGCTTTGAAGAGTTCTCTAGTCTAGGAGAGTGGAAAATGTTAATTCATTCCTTTCCAAAATATAATCCCATTATTCTAGGTAAGTAATTAAGTATAAATTTTTTTAATGTTAATTTTTTATTGTGCTTAAGGGCCTTATTATACTATTCGACTCAGACAAAAAAATTCCTAGGATCGGCCCTGTGCCCAGCGTCGGCCACAACCGGATCCGCCCCAAGAACCACCATCCTCCTCTCCCCAGCCCGCTAGCCCCTATGGAACTCGCCTTAGCCCCAACAGCCACCACTCCACCCCCCACCTGAGGACAATTAGCTATCACAGATCTGAAATCGATTACAGATCTGAAGCACAGAGACGGAGAAGAGGAGCAGCGAAGAAGAAGATAAAGCTAGCATTGCCGTCGCAGACAGTCGCCGTCGCAGACGGTCGCCGTCGCAGACGGTCGCCGTCGCTGACCGTCGTCGAACCGGTGGTCTCCGTCTTCTTTGATGTCGTTGCACTGGTGGTCTCCGTCAGCTTCCTCCGTCAGCTTCGATGACGTCGCGTGGTGGACTCATAGTCGATGATGAAGGTGAGAAGCAGGGACAACCTTATGCGAGAAGCTTGTTGATAGCCTCCATGGATGTCTTGGTGCGAGGAAGTGACGAGCGAAGAAGAGCTGGAGAAGACATCTCGATCCTTCCCAGGAGGATTATTAGAAGAGGTGAACTCGCTTTTTGGTCAAATTTTAAATTGGTCATAATTGTGCCCTTTAAAACCTTACGGGTAATATGTATGCCATTAATTCTATTTTTATTGATTTTTTAATTGCAAAATTATTAAGAATAACACAAAATATTCCATGTATTTATAATAATGCAAATCAAATATACAAAGTTATTTAAATTATCAATCTAGAACACCCCAAGAAGCAATATGCTCATATAACCCAATAATTTATACGATAGTAAATTGTTTCATATTTGGGGATTTAGTAAAAAGTTAAAAACATTTACTCAGTATTCCTTCATAGTAGCCAACTGTCCAACAGAAACACATACGGAGTAAATAAAACGGGGCTTTTCAAAATTGCCGATTTAGGGCATGTTTGGCACAACTAGCTGAAAAGATACTTTTGTGAGCTTTTTAATAGCTGTTAGCTTTTAGTGACTGAAAAGATCTTAAAAAGAAAAGGTGGTAGCTGTTTGATAAAAAGCTGACTGTTTGATTTAGTTCGGTTTGGTATACAAGCTGTTAGGATTAATTAATACTAAAAATCACTAGCTTTTCTTAGATGCTACTCCCGGTAGCATCTAAAAAAAGATCTTTTAATTTTTGAAAAGCTCTTAAATATTATCATGCCAAACACACAACTAGAAGTTTTTAGGAACTTTTTGAACAGTACAAAAGCTAGAAGTCATGGACTTATGCCCGCCAAACATAGCCTTAGTGATTTATTGGAGCCTTTTGCAATACTAGTTATTCATATTATTACTATCTTTATATTTTATGAGGCCCTATCAAAATTTGAGGCCCAAGGCAGTTGCCTATGGCAACTTGCCCCATAGCCGGCTCTAGATATGAATAGTTAACTCATATACGAATATCAAATCGATTTGCTCATAAGTGTATGGTATGACTTAATATGTGTTTTTAGAATTTAATTTGTAACATTCTTTAAAATTTAATCGATCGATGCATTTTTAGGTTGTGCATAATATATTGAAGTGAATCAAATTTTTTTTTCCATAGAACCAAATCACTCTTTTGTAGCATATTAAAGGGCAAGAATTGAAATGATAAAGAACCAAACCACTAGTCATCTGAGGCTCCTAAACCAAGTTCCTATGGGGCTGTGTATCAGATGATAGTTATGCGGGGGAGGGGGAGCATGTACAAAGAATTCTACCAAGAAGCTGATACTAAGAAACAGTAGGAAAATGATGTATCGAACCTAAGGATTTCTAAGGGCAGCCAACCTCTTCTCCAGTTCATCAATTCCCGAGCTACTGCTCTCTTCAATCTTTTTCCCAGCAATTTTTCCTTTTGGAGCTGCTGATAACTGTGAAGCAATATCAACACCGGTTTCGTCAAGGACCTACCTGGTTCCTCAATTCTTCTGTTTCGTCTTCAGCTTCATCATTGTCCAAAGCATCATCTATGGCGTGAGCTGATTGTTTTTGGAAATCTTGAATCACCTTTGCCTGTTTTGCTGGAGCCATTTGCTTATTCATAGCTTTAGTGGCACCCTTCATGCCTGCAGCAACTGAAGTTTGGGCATGTATTGCTTGTGTGTGAGTTGCTATGCCTCTCATCTGAGCTCGGCTACCTTGCAGGTTATATTAGCAACTTGCTGTCTTAGCCTGATTAGCTGGCGTGCTAGTATCTTTGTCGCAGCCTCATTTCCAGATTTAGCAGTTCTCTTTATCTCGGCAACAAGCTTCTTTTCCTCCAAATTGCAAAGCAGAAACTTCCTTCTCTATGCCTCTGGTGGCATTGGCCATTTCTCGTTTACTGTTTTGGAGCACCTCTTTAGCTGTAGGTTTCTTGGAGAATAAATTCATGTTTGGTGTCGTAGCGGGATCCAATTCTAACAGGTTTGGCTCTGTTTCTCGAAGTTGAGATTTTGAAAAGTTCCTTAGCTTGGAATTGGGATTTTATGAAATCTGTTTTGAGAAATGTAGGGATGTAAATCTTCAACCTTTGCAGGAGAAGATCCACATGGTGTCACACTCGGCGGTGTTTGGAAAACAAGCCTACTCAGATTACACTTTTATGATTACTAGTAATTCACCCGTGCGATGCACGGTCGGAAAAGCTTCTTTGAAATTTATTAACAGAAACTAATTTAAATTACACTATCAATTGATATCAACATTTATCTTCATGGAATATTTATATACCTCAAAGCAATAAACAAAAGTCACTTATAATATTATGGTTACAAATAGAGCACTAAGCATTAATTAAAAAATAAAAAACATCAAACAAATAATTAAAAACCATAACATTGTAAATATGCATTTCACGAAGTTTTTTTCATTCCAAAGGTCAGCAAAAATCAATTGAAGATGAAATATTTATAATGACTAAGTAATATAGTGACTAATTGACTATACATTTACACGGATAGCATTTTTTAAACGAATTGCCTGTATAAACAAACAATACAGGAGTGCAAATATGTGAAATTGTGATATGTGATTGTGGGAATTGAAAAATGCTTAAATAGGACCTTCTCTCCCTTCCTCATCATTTTTTTTGCTTTGTTGCAAAAGTCCAACCCCATATAATCTTGTAAACTTCACCACATCCCCATTTGACAAATTTTATATGGTGCATGTAAAAATCATTTCTATAGATTCGTTTAAAGTTTGATAAAAAGTACGTATCAACCACAATACCCGGATTTTCGGCCTAGCCAATTTTCTACAAAACTTTCGAAGTTCAATAAAGCCCAATTAAAAAAACTGCAGCCCAAAATGTTTCATAACCTTACATACGCCATCCGGTTAGATTTCCTGTGTTCACTCCCTAGCCATAACTCTTCCACCGCCAACATCGAATAATACACACCGACTCACCGTCCACAGATAACCTTTTACAAATTTTATTTTGTACGGACTTTGGTACTTTTTCGATCGGAGAGTCGGAGACTGCTCCGACAATTACACGCACATTCACACGCTTGTACATGAGAACTAACATCCCAAG